ATGGATCATTGAAAAAAAAACTTATAATTTTTTTTTCAGCATAAGATCCACCCCTAAAGAAATTTTGGCTACGAACCAACTGCTCACATGAACAATAAATGATTAGGGCAAGATTTAGTGATTAATTATCATTAATCTGCTTAACTTCATGGGGTTAACACTAGCGACTAAGATGCGAATCGGAACATGCATGAGATCGACAATATGTTTAGCCAAAAAATAATACCTCCAACCATGATCACTTGGACAAATTAAACAATTCAGAGTTGTTTTGAGTGATATTCGGTTAAGGGAGCTCATACATATAGACATATACGGTTGTTTGTTTGTCTGTACGTCTATAATTAATTAAGTAAATCCACCGGCCACAAAGAAGCCAGCCAGGGATGCATTTTATACATATGACGATCACAAGTTTGGGTTATAAGTCCTTAATACATACGATCATGTGATAGACTAGCTAGGAGCTGAATGATTGATTTGGGATCTCCCAACATCAACTAATTGGAAAGTCATACCTATTACTGAGTAATTAAGTTCCACTTATTTACAAATTAAATTAGATTGTGTTTGGATTGATGTATTTTAAATATGTATATTTGAAATGCATATCTACTGCAAATGTATGTATTTTAAATATTGTAGTTCAAATTCATTGTTTGGATATTCATTTTTAATTTTTTTTTTTTTTTTTTTTTTTTGCAATAGGGGAGGCCAAAGCCAAGAAAGACAAGAAGGGGAGATTACAGAGCAGTAGGCGCTCTTACATGGCGCTCAAAAGAGACGCCCATAACATCATCTCTAAGGATCTGACTCAACTCCCTCGGCGGATTAGAGAGCTCATGCGTACCGTAGGGATAGACGAGACTGTGCTTCGAGAGCCAGTCCGCGGCTCTATTCCCTTCGCGGTACGTGTGAACTACCCTAACCAGCCAACTCTGTGCCAATTTCCTTCTGATAGCATCAAGCAGCGAAGCATACGGATGAACTGGGTCCCGCCGATTGTTTATCAACTGGATCGCTAACTGAGAGTCGGACTCGATCACCAGGCTGTCGCACCCCACCTTCCACGCCAAGTCTAAACCATAGTAGAACGCCCAGAGCTCCGCTAAAGCAGCAGTCGCCTCACCAATCTTAGCCACAAACCCAGCAATCCACCTCCCTTGCTCATCTCTGATCACCCCGCCCGCGCCTGCCGTCCCTGGGTTACCAGCCGAGGCACCGTCAATGTTCAGCTTGCGCCACCCGGAGCTGGGGGGCTGCCAGCAAATCTGCACTGTGGACCTGTCCACCTGTAAAAAAGACCTCCCTGGTTTTAGAGAGGGAGCCTCCCACGCCTGATGCCAAAGAAGAGCCTTGTGCTGAATCGAGTGAGCTAGAGTAGGCGCTGTGAAGGCCTTGCTAGCCCCCTTGAAACACGCCGTGCACCTGTTCTTCCAGATCAACCAGATAGCAATGCTAAAAAACTCATTCCACGCCAAACCAGAATCTATCACGTCCTCGTTACTGAGATTGCTGCGGAGCCAGTCCTCTTGGTCTCTGTGAAAAAATTCCGCCTGTCTGTCAATGGGGACCCACCGGGACCAACAAAACTGTGCCGGCGGGCAGTCGCGCAACACGTGAAGCACCGTTTCGGGAGTGTCCTCACATCTGTCGCAGTCCGGCGAGTCACTGCATCTCCTGCAAAATCGAAGTACATTGGTAGCTATCCGGCCCAGACCAACAAGCCAAGCAAAACATCTCACCCGTTCTGGAGTTGGGAGCTTCCAGATGGCCTTCCAGATCCGGTCATCTGGCTCTATCCGCTCGGGCTGACTCAGGTGGTAAGCAGACTTAGTTGTGAAACGGCCATCCGCCGAAGCCTTCCAGAAGATTTGGTCCGCATCCGGGGAAAGAGGGTCAACCATCACAGCAGTAATCTTCTGAATAATATCCGTCGAGAGCCATTGGGAAAGATGAGAGATATCCCACCGACCGTCCGCATCCATATATGAGGCCACTGTCCGAGCACGATCCTCCTCAGGGACTGGTTGACTTGCAACCTCAATGAGCGGTTCCTGCAAAATCCAGTTATCCAGCCAAAACTTAGTGCTTTTCCCATTGTGAATATTCCAAGCACACCCTTTTTTCAGGAGGTTGGCTGCTTTGTTAATACTCGACCAGGCAAAAGAACTTCCCTGACAATGCCGGAAGATGTCCAACTCTTTTCTCTTTCCCCCATACTTGGTCCTCATGACTTGAGTCCAGAGAGTGTCTTTCTCTTTCAAAATACGCCATCCTCCTTTAGCTAAGAGAGCAAGGTTGGCCTGTCGTAGCGACCGGAGGCCTCCTCCCCCTTGCGCTCTCGGCTCAGTTAACTTCTCCCAGGCCACTAGGTGCATCTTCCCCTGGTTCTCTTCCTTGCCCCAAATGAAATCCCTGTTAATCCTGTCAATACTGTTGCAAACATTAACAGGAATCATCTCGGTTTGCATAGTATAAGTAGGGATAGCCAAGGATACAGATCTAGCCACTGTCAGTCTCGCAGCCAAGGAAAGCCTCTTAGCCTTCCATGGGGCCAGCTTCTTTTGGATCTTCAGGATCAGCTCCTGGTATCTGCTCCGGGTGACTCGGCCATGGATGGTTTGAACCCCCAAGTACCGCCCCAACACCCTGGTCAAAGGAATGGCAGCCCTGTCACTCAATCTCTGTGCGCGCAGCGGGCAGATATTGGGCGAGATGTACATCATGGACTTGGAATAGTTCACTTTCTGCCCCGAACTCTCACAGAACTCGTCAAGACACTGGCGGATGATCTTGACCTGCGCCCCTTCTGCACCTGCAAACAGAATTAAATCATCGGCAAAGAAAAGGTGAGTGAGAGCCGGCCCGCCCTGCGCTATGCTAAGGGGTTTCCAAAGCTTAGCACGGACAGCCTCATCTATCCTGTGAGAAAGACGTTCCATGCAAAGGACAAAAAGATAAGGGGAAAGAGGATCTCCCTGTCTGACTCCCCTCGTGGGAGTGATGGGTTGGGTGAGTTCACCATCCCAGAGAATCCTCATACGATTCTGCTCAACACAGAACATGATGCAGCGAATCCATGAGCTAGGCAGACCCACTTCGATCAGAGTATCTCTCAGGAAGTCCCACCGGAGCCTGTCATAGGCCTTCTCCAAGTCAATTTTGATCACCATACCACCCCTTTTCCCTCTTTTCTTCTTTAGAGTGTGCAGCACTTCTTGAACGACAAAAATATTATCCGCCGTTTGCCGCCCTGGAATGAAACTACTTTGTCGAGGAGACACCAGCTTCTTCATGACCATTTTCAGTCTGCTCGTCATCGCCTTAGTAATGGCCTTCAAGCTCACATTATTCAGGGAAATGGGCCGGAGTTGGTGGACAAACTCTGGTTTCTCCACTTTGGGGATGAGCACCACCGTGGATTCCGAGATGGCATCGGGCAGTGTACCGCCCTCGAAGAAGGATAACGCCATATCCGTGAGTGCCTTCCCAACAATCCTCCACTCCTGTTGATAGAAAGCTGCTTGAAAGCCATCCGGGCCTGGAGCCTGCAAAGGTTTCATGTCAAAAATAGCCTGGTGAATGTCCATAATCGAAAAGGGGCGCAGTAGGCACATCCAATCATCCTGATTCAGCCGAGGAAAAGCTCCCTTGGGCATGAAGTCAGTGTAAGGCGACGCCTCCTGCAAGTACAGGTTAGAGAAAAAATCAAAAACAAGCTGAGCAAGCTCCTGTCTATCCTGCACCCAGTCCCCATTCTCCTTTCTCAGGCACTCAATCTTGTTCAAGCGGCGACGAATGTTGGCGATTTGGTGGAAGTAAGCTGTGTTTCTTTCTCCAAACTTCACCCAGCTTTCACGAGCCCTCTGGTACCAATACAACTCCTCTTGCTCAAGGGTCCTGTCGAGCTCCGCTTCTAGCTTGGTATGGAGTTTGGCCAGCCCAGGATGGAAAGAGGTGGCTAGCTTCCGCTCAATTCCTTCGATTCTTGCAACCAAGCGTTTCTTGCGTTGGAAAACGTTGCCAAAAACCTGCTTACTCCACAGATTCAAGCTATCCGAGAGATCCTGCAAAGCCAAAGGAAAGTTATTACTATGCCCACACCACTTTTCATCTAAAAAATTTTGGAAATCAGGGTGAGTAAGCCAAGCAGCTTCAAATCTGAAGCGTCTTGGGGAAGAGTGGGTAACTCCCTGACTCGGCACCGTCGTCAGGATTGGATTGTGATCAGAGCTCAGCCTCGCCAAGTGCATCACCGTCGTGTTCGGGAAGAAATCATTCCACTCGATGTTACACAGACTCCTATCCAATCTGCTAGCTTTGAAAGTCTGCGCCTGGTCACCCCTGCACCAAGTATGCTTCGGCCCTGAATACCCCAGGTCAACTAGTTCCGCCTCATTCAGCCAACCATTGAATCTCCTGCAACGCCGCAGCACCCTGGGAGTCGCTTGACTAGTAGTTTCCAGGGGAGACAGGATAGCATTGAAATCACCGGATAAGAGCCAAGGACAGTCTATAGCTTTACTCTGCTCTATAAGGTAGTTCCAAAGGAGTTGTTGGAGCTGCTGCCGGGGAGAGGCGTACACTGCAGTGAGCATCCAACGACGACGACTACTACCCTTAGAGACTGACAGGGTCAGGTGCTGGAACCCCGTAGAAACGACAGTAATGTCGTACTGATTGGCGTTCCAGAAAAACCAAATGCCACCACTTCTGCCGTTAGCCTCAACCCGGATGACATCTGGATAGCCCAACTTTCCGCAAACTCTGTTAGCATTCTCGCCACTAATCTGCGGTTCAATAAGAATAACAAAATCAGGTCTGTGGAGCTGAATAGCGAGCTTCAAAGAGCGAGCAAAAGCATTGCTACCCGCCCCCCCAACATTCCAAGCAAAGATTTTAAAACCAGACTTAGTACTAACAGCCATTAAAACAATTAGAGGAAAAGAAAGAGACAGAAAGCGAGAGGAGCCGCAAAGGAGAGAGCACACCAGGTCTTAGAGAGCAGGGACGTTCGGATTGCTCACTGGCCCACTCGAAATTGCCACCATCTCCTCCGCAGCTTCCCTGTTCATTGTTTCAGGTTCTGCCACTGTCTTCGGTTTGGCCGCATCCGTCCAATCCTTGATTTGTTGCAGAGTTAGGGAGACTCTCTTCTCTTTATTTCGACCCTTCTTCTCTTTCACCGGGGACCAGATTTGTAGTGGCTTCAGCGGATTGTGGCGCATCGCGGTCCCTTTCTTGGGTGTCGCCGTCCTCTTCGTTCCACTGCCGCGCCCCTCCTTCTTCGAATTTGTCCTGGAGACCGCCGATGGAACGTCCGGGTCGGCCACGCGAGGGGCAGGTGGTTGATACGCTTGCGTCTCAACAATCCGGATCTTAGTGCCATTTTCCCCGTTAATGGTCTGGGTCGTCGGGCCGGATGAAGGGGCCAGGCCCGTTTCCATCTCCGTCAGCCCACACGCAGACTTCACAGCCTGTTGGGAACGTTCGGATTGGGATTCAAAAGCCCGGGCCGCCGTCTTGAGCCCATTGCTTGTCCCGCTCGAAGATGCCTCCCCCGAAGTGGGCTTTGGGCCCAGCAACCCTTTTTCGGCTGACCCTACTGCTTCCATCGCTTTCCCTTTCCCCTTCGACTTTCCTTTGCCTTTCCCCTCAGTTTTCGCTGCTTGAGATTCCCCTGTCTGTTGCCGTTGCTTCTGCAGCGAATTCCCAATGCTCTGAGGTTGAGCCATCCCGGAAGTCCCGCTCTCTTTCCTTCCTTCATCTTTCTTCTGCCCGTTGGTAATCGCCAAGACTTGCGCTGCCTTACCATTTGTGGCGGTGTCTTTTAGATTTCGCCGTGATTTGCGCGTCACCACCATCCAAGGCCCGAAGCCGGCATTGGCCTCCGGCGAGGACCCGTCGGCCACTATCGCCGCCGGTGCCAAAGCTCCCTGAACAGACTCCCCTCTCCCGCCTTGTTCCCTGGATTGGCATGAGACGTTCGTATGACCCACCCTACCACACTCAAAACAGACTACAGGAAGGTTTTCATATTCAATTTGCTGCCACCGACCGTCTAATCTGATCCTCGGCACCAGCGGTTTCGATAGGTCAACCTCGACGGCCATCCGGGCGAACTTTGCCCTCTGTTGGTGTTGTGTATGGTAGTCAAGCTTAATGGATCTACCTATGAGATTGCCCATAGTGAAAAGCAATTCCTTGTGATAGAAATGCACCGGTAGACCGGGGAACTGAACCCAGACTATCATCGTTTTGGGAAGACTATCCGTGACCCTAAACCCCGTCGTCCATTGTTGAACCAGGAGGTAGTGGTCAAAAATTGTCCAAGGGCCTTCCGTGAGCGCCTTGAAGTAATCTTCATCGTTCCCTAATTTGACCAGGAAGCATTCTTCGTCCAGAGCAAAAACTTCCAACGCATTGGAAGGTCGCCAAAGGGCACGAAGCCTGTTACACAACGTTGTATAGCCAATTGTTCTTCCTAGGAGACGCACGACAAGAGTTCTTTCCCAGGGCTTACTGAGTTGAGTCTTGAACTTCTCAGATATCCTTAGTTCAGGCTCACCCTGGAAAGATCCAGTGACCAGGTCGTGCTCCCCGACCGGGACCCATTGAATCGCAGAGTGTTTGGCCGGATTCCTTCCCCCTGTTAGAGCCCCAGCATAGGAGATCGGTTGGGAGGGTTGGGGGTTGCTGTGAGGAGCGTCTGATATCCCGGCTCCGATCGCGGTAAGCGATTTACTTGGGTCCGGGCCTATGGTTGTCACCAACCCTGTCGCTGGAGTCTCCTCAGAACGGTGAGCAGCTGCTTGTGTCTCGTCCACCACCATGTCTGCAGATGTTTCATCCCCGGCGGGTTTGTCCAACATTTTCATCTCCCCAGGTAGAAGCAGGGGACCAGTTTCTAGAACAGGATTATCCGGTGGCCGTCCCGACGGGATGGAAACGGTCGCCGGAGCTACTTGCGCCGAGCTATTCGAACAGAGCATTACAGAGCGTTCGGCAATTGTATTAGGATAGGCCCTTTTCTTTCTGACATTTTTAATTTTTTATATTCCAAATTTTATGTATTTTTTTTCACTTTGGAGTTTTTTTACACATTATTAAATGTAACATCCAGGGCGGGAAACCGTCACTTCCCCTAAGTGGGTTGTGAGATTCACAACCAAGAGTATTTTGGGTATTAAAAAAACCAATTAATTAATTAATTATTATTAATTGCATATTTGGAATTAAAAACCCATATTAAATACATATTATTTAAAAAATTTAAATCCTACAATAAATACATTTCTCTCTCTTCATTTTCTAGCAGCCACTCCACTCTGATCGGCTTACTTTCCGACCGATAGACTCTCTGGCAAAATCATTGAATCAGACTCGCTCAAGCCACCTGCAAAAAATTACAACCCTATCAGTGCGCTAGTGGTACGCTACCACTACCAATGAGTAGTGTTACGCTACCAGTGATGGTGGTACGCTACCATTACCACTGGTAGCGGTACTAGTGAGTAGTGGTAGTGATACCAGTGATAGTGGTACGCTACCACTGGTGGTGGTGGTGGTGGTGGTACCACTACTACTGGTATGGTATCAGATGAAAATCACTACCACTAGAGACTAACACACAAAAAAAACTAGATATCAAATCCAAAAATCATAAATATGAAAAAAAAGATGAGGAAAAGAGGAGGTTATGACCTTGCTACAGGGACCTCGTGGGGTGGTGGTGGGAGGCGGAGGAAGGGGGCGGCGGGAGAGAGCTGACGACGACGGGGGTGGAAGGAGGCGACGGTGGGTGCGACAGGGGGTTGGAGGGAGGCGGAGGAGGGTCAAGGGTCGTGGTGGAGGGAGGCGGAGGAGCGTCGTTGGACGACTGTGGAGGTGCGTGACAGGGGTGGAGGGAGGCGGAGGGTCACAGAAGGCGACGACGGGGGTGGAGGGAGGAGCCATCTGCGGGAGAGAGGGAAGAGGGAGAGAGGGAGGAGTTAGCTTTTTTATTTATATGGAAGGGAAAATGAATGGGTGTGGTAAGTTCTTTCACTTCCAAAAATACCCTTTCTTTAATCTTAACTATCAATTTGAAAAAAGAAGAAGAAAGAGACAGGGGAAGGAGAACAGATCTAATGGTTACAAAGTGGGTTATCAATCTCACAGCCCCCTAAGGGATGTGACGGTATCCCGCCCCGTAACATCTAGAACCTTTTCCCTCCCCGTAACATCCAGAACCTTTTCCCGACAAGATATTGTCTACTTTGGGTCTAGACCCTCATGGTTTTTGCCTTGAGAGGCATATCAAGGTGACTTCCCATAAAGTCACTCATCAATGCAGTGCTTCACAGTGAGCACGTTTCACTTTGGAGTTCTTACAAGAACTCGTCAATTTCACCCCAAAACATGTCTTGTCAGTTACAGTAAGTTCCTTACTTATGAACCATTGATCTCTCTCGTGCTTTGTCGATGTGAGATTCGCCTAACATTACAGTTGTCAGAAAATTACAAGTTAGTATCTAAAATTTAATTTTGTTAAACAAACAAATCCATAAATGTTGGTCATTAAATTACAGTTTAGTACGTTTATATTTGTAATATTGCATTACAATACCCAAACTTTGAAAATGCTACACATGATTTCAATATGCTACTATGAAGAATTTCAAATCACTAGTTGTTGATATGTATTTCAAATTAAAAAATAATACAATCGATATGTATTTGAAATTCACCCTTGTATTTTGTACAAATCCAAATAACATATCTAATTAATATCCAAAATATTATTTAATAAATTGAAATTTCAAATCTAAAACCATTATATTAAAATTCAAAACATTAAATAAGATTAACTAATAAGTACGGTCTTGGTTCAGGGAACCCACTAGAAACAAATTATAATACATAATTTTTCTTGATCTTTGCTCTCTTGGGAGGGGAGATTATCACTCTTGTAATCGACAATAACCTTAATAATAGGAATTTTATAATGCTATATAGTATTGGTGCTATAGTTTTTTGCCTTTATGATACAACTTGAAATTGTATTTTTAACGTTATCGTACAACTTCAAATTGTACCTATACTTTTTGTACAGATTTTTTTATGGTACAACTTGAACTTGTAGATGGTACAACTTTAAGTTGTGAAGTTGTACTATAACATAATTGTACAAATTCCTCTATGATACAACCTGAACTTATATATTTAACGTTATGGTACAACTTCAAGTTGTACATTAAAACACCAATACTATATATCATAAGTGCTCTAATAATAATTAGAGTTTATTTTTGTTTGAGAAGGGATTGTGACCCCATTTTTATATGATTGAATTGCATCAAGCACTCTCTCTCCCCCTCTCATGGGAGACAATCACAACAACACAAGCTTGCAAGTTAGAAAGGCATCTAAACATGTCGGAACCATCATTTCTCCATAACGCAAGGAGATGGACGGCCCAATCGCCACAGTAATGTCTGTGGTCTCCACATGGGACGAGGACGGGGAACTCAAACCAGTAATCGGGCGCCAATTTTTGGATTAGGAAATTTGAGATGAATTTTACAATGTTTCGTATTATCCGTGTTTTGATTTAAATTTTTTATTATACAAGTTGAACTTGTATACAGTGGCGGATATATGGTGCTTTAGGGGTGTTTCGGGAAACTCCTAAAATTTGCGAAAACAATTATCTAACCTCCGGTCGTAGTTTCATATGGATAAACAAAATATAATCACTAATCTTGGACACCCCTAAAAATTGAACAAATGATTATCTTACCCTCTATAGTAGTTTGCATATGAATAAAAAACTATAAGTGGTGGTCTTTGTTATTCAAACCTAGGATAATAAGATTATTAAACATATTCTCCATTAGGTTATAACTCATGTGTTGTTCTATTTTAAACATTATGTAATAGTAAAAACACGATTTCTTATCCTCAGGGATACCCCTAATTTAAATTGATTTTATGATTATACGGAGTGTTGAAAGAGTCTTTTCAACTTTGGGTTACATAAAAAAATAAGGTTTGAAATTGAATATGCGATCAGTTTGTGAATTATTGTCTAGTATGATATACATATTTGTTGAGCAGTGTAGACACCGAATCTATTTTATATTTTTTTTGGAATATGAAAATACATCGTGACTTTTTGTTAAAATTTATACTAATCGGATATTTTCTAATTTATGAATTATTTAATTTAATTATTTATTTTAATTTTTGGAATCCACCACTGCTTGTATATTTAACTAGTATTTTGTTGCTCGCGCTCCGCAACGGGATACAAGCTTCATTTGAGTAGATCATCGAAGATTAAAAAGCTAAATGAAATTTATTGATGATTTGGTGAGTCCATCAAGCAAATTATTTCACATATTTTTATTTGATTATCAAAAGGACTTTAACCATAAGTTTTGATAGTTGACATTTATTTGAAGGTGTTAAGTATAAATAGGGTAAATACAATATAATAGCCAAACGTTTTTCACGGTAAACAATATAATAGCTAAGCCTTTTCGAAAACAATTTAATAGTCAAACCGTTAACTCTTCGTCCGGTCAACCGTTAGTTGACTATGACATGGCAAAATTCTTAATGAGGTGGAAAATTTATGATGACATGCATGGCAAGAAATTAAACTTTTAACATCCCACATGAATATTAATAATATACATAATAATCCATTTTTTTGGGGAAAATATAATTAAAATCAAAGAACCCTATTCTCCAAGCCCAAGCCCGAGTTCTAAGCTCTCGATCCTCCATCACAATCCATGCTCCCTCTCACAATCCTTCAACCCTCGTTAGCATCAACAACCACAAAATTGAAAATCATCAACTCCCATCTTTCCAGCACCAACAGATCAAGCCCCTCGAAAGAGAAAGTTCCTCTCCAATCTCCTTCTACCTTCCTGTCCGAGGAATTCAATTGAAGCAAAACCAGTTGAGATTACATAGGGGAACAAGTAATAGAAGATCGCCAATCGGGTATGGTCAGGGTTTGTGGTTGTGAGTTGGCTTCCCGACGGAGGAGAACCCAATAATCTTCTTCGTCATTTAGACACTGAAACCTAGCAATTGCAAACCCAAGATCGAACATCCAAACTCCAGATCGTCGAGGAAAAAGAGGAACCATAGTCTTGTCGTAGTTGTCCACTCCTCATCGTCGAGTCTCGCCGTACTCCTCAATCGCGTGCCCACCCCAGAAATCGCCAATCGCCCAGCCCGTGAAAACCCCCAGAAATCG